TTAACAAAGTAAGGCTTCTTGGTACTGATTTTTGTGATTCTAGAATAGTTCAAAAAATCCTTGTAACAGTTCTTAATAAGTTTGAGGCTACAATATCATCAATAGAAAACTCAAAAGATGTGTCAAGTATTACCTTGGCAGAACTGTTGAATGCACTACAGGCTCAGGAAGAAAGGAGACTTATGAGGAAAGAAGGATCTGTGGAGGGTGCATTTCAAGCTATATCACAGAACAATATGTACAAGAAAGAGAAGCAAAGCAACATCAATAACAGCAGCAACAACCCTACATTTTCACCATGTCCTTACTGCAAAAAATCCAATCATCCACAAAAAAGGTGTTGGTGGAGGCCAGATATAAAATGTCACAAGTGTGGTCAGTTAGGGCACGTGGAAAGGATATGCAAATCTCAACAGCAACAAGGGAAAGTCAAAACTGTTGTTGAACAACCTCAAGAGGAGCAACTGTTTGCGGCATCAGGATTTGTTATCAGTAGGTCCACAGAAATATGGCTTATAGACAGTGGTTGTACAAGCCACATGACTTATGATCAAGAGCTTTTCAAAGAGCTCGACAAAGAGATAGACAATGGATTTCTCACCTTTGGGTCAATTTTTCCATCATCAAGTACAAACATATGAAATAAGCTTAATCAATAAATTTGCATGTTTCATTATATAATCTATTGACATAAACTTCAAACGAAATTCCAATTTTTTGAGAACAAAATCCTAATAAGTATAAATACATCAAAAAAAACTTAATTTAACACTCATTTGCATATAATTATATTGTCTATTAGAATAAAACTAAAAAATTAAATAAAATGTCAAACTGTAATGACCAAATTGAGGTAATTTGGTCGTTTAATAGATTTCGTTAGTTCCTTAATTAATAAAGGGTCTAAGTATAATATTTTAAACTTGAGGATCCAAAGTGTTATATGTCTTTAAACTTCAGGGATTCTAGGTGTAATTTATTTATAGATATACTAAAGGACATTTATGACAGGGATTTAAGTATTACGCATGTACAAATTTTAAAAGGTTTGTGTGTAATAATTCAAATATCAGAGATTTTAACTGATTAAGTGACAAATCTCAAATGATTTGAGTGTAATTTTTCAAAAAATTTACTAGTGAAAGTATGATCTTTGCTTAGGAAACCGTTTTCCTAGTTAAGAGTTGTACATTTTTTTAAAAAAAAATATTCACATTTATACGGAATTAAATTACCTGGAATTTCATAAACAAATCAAAAATTCAACTAAAAATCATCAAAAATAGCGCACAAATACTTCATTCCCAACTGCTACAATATTTCAAAAATACCCTCAAAACAATAAAAATGAAAAAATAATGCACAAAAAGAGAATTCCATGAAACTTGGAGGGTATTCCTTCCACAGTTATAATCGCAACATCACTAGTGGCATTTCCGTTTTTCTCACTTTAATTTCGGTGCAGAGTTAGCTTTCTTATAGCTCTGTTTGGTTAGAAAGAAGTTGATGATGAAAAATAAAAAATAAAAAAATAGAAAGTGAAGTGAATAAAAGAAATGGAAAAAAAAAATTATTTTCTTGTATACGTTTGATTAGAATAAAAAGTTTGCTTGAAAAATATAAAAAAATTGGTGCAACGAGTAAATTATCCTTATAATATCAATCTAATATGGAAAAGAGTAAGTGGGCAAAACAAAAAGAAATACTTTTTAGATAATCAAACATATGAAAATTTAATATTATTTATTTTCCAACACTTTCCAGTGTTTTGACGCTATCCAAAGGAAGCCTAAGTTTCCATTGCCACAAGTGACATAATTGGAAGTGGCCACCCAAAAGCCTCTCTAATCATCGGTTTGCCACACAGACTACCGTAAAGAATAAGACTTGTCTACGGTTGCTCTTAACCCCTTGTGTTTTTATAATACATACTTCACCCCCTTATACTTTTGGATTTATTTGCTCTTGTCACCTTTTTCATCCGAATAAACAGATCGTAATCTACACGCGCTAAATGGACGATTGGGCATAGGAAAATGATATTTCCCTCAAAAATGTTATTGTTTAAAGGATAATAATGTCATTCCAACCATGTATTTAAGCTTTGGAGTAAATACATGTAGTATCATATGCCTTTCTCCCTCCCTCCCCTTCAAAGATTATCTCCTCCACCCATATGTATTATCACTGAGATATTAGAAAAACTAAAAAACTAAAATTTAAGAACAATATATAGTAAAATAATAAAAAATTGATTAACTTATAATGAACACTATAATCGATATTCAAATTAAAATAGAGACGAGTTCTCATAAAAAAATAAAAGTCAATTGTAAGAACTTTCACTTGTAAAAATTCATAAATAATAATATTAAGTTATTCTAGAGAAAGCCTTAATACAATAAAAAAATAAACAATTGAAATAAAAAAATTATAAAGTGAGTACAAGTAAAAAATATATGTATACATATAATATTGTTTTGAAAAAATTGAGGGTTATTTATTTTTTTTGTTCAGTTGTATGAAATTGGGTCAATCTTGAAAGAATTTGTGTTAACTTGCATGCAGTTGGGTTGAATTTATCTTGAAATGATTTTTTGTTTGTTCTTCTAATAAGAATAATGAATGAACTGTTCAGCATTTGTTAAATATATATAAAGGGTATCATGGTCATTTTACATTTTTTGTTAACTGCGTCATCTGTTCAAATAAGTCCAAAACATGAGGGAGTGAAGTGCCTATTATAAAAACACAAGGGATAAAGTGCAACTGTCCCAAACTACAACGGGGTAAAAAGGATTTTATGTGTATCAAATAAAATGATAAAAATAGTTATCACAATAGTAATAAAAATACCCACAAATATTTTAAATTACCCATAAAATTAATAATTTTTTTTATACCAAAAAAAAGCCAAAAAAATAGTTACCACAACAATGCTAAAAATACCCACAAAAAAAGTAAATATTTTAGTTGTAAAATTACTCACAAAAGTTATAAAAACACCTATTAAAAGAGTAAAATTTAGAGGTATGATAAAATTTGGGCATATTTAGGTAGTTATTGTATATTACATGGAGGGGTATTTGATGGTGATACCATGTGATAATACTAACGTTTTGTTAATGTTACATTGAATATTTTTTCTCTCGTAAGTCTACGCTGTCGACAACTTTGAAGCAAAAACCAATGTTAGATTTTCTGATTTCTCTTGGCCTGCAAATCGGTAAGCAAATTCATTTGTTTTGTCTAGTTGAAGTTGTGCTCAACTTTGTTCTTCCCATCAGTAGATTTGACTTATTTCAGCAAGTAAATTATATGATTTTGAAAGCCGGCCTTTTCGTTAAGCTCGGTGAACTAAAACTCATATTCTCATCTATTGTTGGTCTCTCCAATGCATTTTTTTCCCTATAAATAGTCATCTAGAGAATTCACCAATTCAAGGGAAAAACTGGGTCATTTGCTTCTGGTAAAATAAATAGATCATCATGGCTCAGTTTAACAGCAAAGCATCCAAGTTCTTTTACTTGGTTCTAATACTCACTCTTCTTTTCATGGTTTCTATGGCCGAGAGCAGACAACTTGGCAGTAAGTTCTAACTTCGACTGTCATTAAGCTTGTCATCTTGTCTTATATTTGGCCCATATTTAGTGTAGTTATCCGAATTCATGTTCTATCAAATTCGTGTCGTGTATAACTTGTATTTAGCAAATTCGAGTCGTTTTTAGTTAGATTCATGTTCATCTGTTTATTACACAAACCTGTTAATTCCATTTCGATTTCATGTCAATGCCAAATCTAAACTTACCATAGACAAGAAAAGTCCATAATCTACACACTAAAAATAAATGTCTATGATTTTCTAGAACCCCCCCCCCCCCCTCCCTCCTCCCTCTTCCCAATTTTCAATATTTTCACATTGACAATTTCTCAATAACCTTCTTGTGACAATGCAGTTGGGTTTGGGAAGGCAAAATCAACTCCAGTTTGCAACTCGGTGTACGGTGCAGAAGATGGTGATACTTGCAACATTGTTGCTGAGAAGTTCAATTTGTCGGACGACTTCTTCCTTGAGATCAATCCTAATATCAACTGTAATACCATTTTCGTGGGTCAATGGCTTTGCACCGATGGGTCAGCGAATTGAAGTGCTGAAGTTTTCGTATTCGCGCAATAAAAATCTGCATAGACAAAGAGAAGAAGTCTCATTGTCTTGATGTATTATTTCCTTTTATTTTCTCACTTACCATCGTTCAATGGCAGCATAATAAGATGGAGTGCATCCTTAGTCTCCACTTTCTTAACAAATGACTAATTTGTTGTCACTGTGAACACCAACAGCTTTGAAAATGGGTGACAATTGAGTCCTATTGGACCGAGTTCAGGTTTCGCACACTGTTTGTGATATTTCTATTTTTGTGACATGATGATCCATCATATTTATTAACACTTTAAGGTACCGATGAGAACTTTCTAAGTTTAAGCAACTTTAACTCCATACTCAAATGTTAGTATATCTGATCATACTTAGATCTGCCCCGTTAGCAATTTTGAGCAAAATCCAATGTCGGTGTATCTGATCTCACTTATGCCTGCATTGTCGTCAATCTCGAACCAAAATCCAATGTTTTTGTAGCTTATACCAATTAGGCCTGCACTCTCAGCAAAATTCCCATATTTTGTCTGGTTGAAGTTGTGCTCAGCTTTGTTCTTCCCAACAATTCCTTAAGTTAGACATAAAAACATGTATGTATATCGGAGCAAGTATATTATATAGAGAGCCGGTCCGTTCTTTAATCTTTGTCGATCAGAACACATCTGTCGATCTCCCCAAGGAATTTTTAGTTATAAATAGTCATGCATAGAAGCAACTACTCAAGGAAAAGTGAGCCATTAACTTGTAGGAAAGTAAACAGATCATCACGGCTCAGTCCAACAACAAAGCCGCCAAGTTATTTAACTTGGTTCTAGTGCTCTCTCTTCTTCTTTCCATAATTTCCATGGCCGAGAGCAGACAACTTGGCAGTAAGTTTTGATTACAGCTGTAATAAGTTGTAGTGTTTCGAAATTTTGTTCAACTTATATCCAACTTATTTATAATGATATATCGCTAGATTCGTATTGTGTCATAATATGTTTAGTTAATTCGTGTCGATTCATTTATTTGACCGGTCTAACGTATCCATCCATTATCATCTAAACCCACTAAAGTTAAATTCAAACCTACTAATTTCGTGACAATTTCGTGTCTAGAATAGCTAGATCTAGTTCTGATTATGAACCAGCAAAGTTGATAGTTGAAGTCTTGAATAAAATTGCAAAAAAAAAAAAGAAAAATAGTTGATATGACCGAAAATAAATGTATACTATTTTCTAGTTTCCCTCATGTTTCATGTCTTTATATTGACCATTTCTCAATAATCTTGTGATAATGCAGTTGGGATCGGAAAGACAGAATCAACTCCAGTTTGCAACTCGGTGTACGGTGCAGAAGATGGTGATACTTGCATCAGTGTTGCTCAGAAATTCAACTTGTCATCCGACTTCTTCCTTAAGATCAATCCTAATATCAACCGTGATACCATTTTCGTGGGTCAATGGCTTTGCACTGATGGGTCGGCGAATTGAACTGTTGAAGTCTTCATATTCACGCAGCAAGAACCTTCATAAACAAAGAGAACATGTCTCTGTCTAATTCGATATAGTATTCCCTCCTTTTATTATCTCAGTTGCCATTGTTCAATGGCCATAATAAATTGCAATGCATAGAGTATGCATGTGTAGGACTCGATCTTGGTACTAGTCCACAACAATCAAAGTCGAATTGTGAGCCTATTAGTGAAGACTTGTGTTTTGGTTGTATCATTTCAAGTCCGTGTTGAGTATTAATTCATCCTAATTTAACTCATTTAATTAATCATATCAACTTGTTTGTTACTGTGTCATATTTGAGTTAACTCACATAACTCGTGAAAAAAAAATTCAAGACTAAAATCCAAGTGTTATGCATCAGCTCAACCAGAAAAGAATAAAAGAAATGAATTTTAGTCTAGCTGATCAAGTGCCTAACTTGAACTTCAGCTTAGTTGCTCTCACAGCGCCACTTGAAATCTCACCTGTGGCTTTTATGTAGGCTGCATAGAGTTACGGAGATGCTCTATGATCCACCTTTAAAAGGTGTTGTCTTAGCTCCAACTGAGACGACATTTAATTGTTACATATACGTTGTCATGTTGGCCTTTCGAGCACCAAAGACATAAACATTTGGTCATCTTTGCTAATTTTTGTGCAAAGGCGTAATTGTTTGATTTTTCTCACTATCTCAGCACTAAGTAGAATCCTCTATGTGAGAGCATTGCTTCAAACCTAGTGACAGATTTCACATAAAGGTGTAAAACAATAATCATCCAACAACAAATATGAAGAATGATTATTGTTAATGTGAATAATAAAAAGATGTCCAATACACATCAAATGTATGAGGAAATGTATGTTTGCTTTTTCCTACACCAAGAAACAACTCTACTGTGGAATGTAAAATGTATAACTCATAGACTTACGTTCAACTTTATCACTTGTCTAATTTACGTTGTTAAGTTTTCTCATCAAGACTCTACCATGACAACATTGGACTAAGTCTGTAGTTCCACAAGGCATTGAAGAATCCTTTTTACTACTTTCCAGTGAACAGATCCAGGGTTGCCCTGAAAACAACTGACCACCCCAACTGCATAGCAGATGTCTAGTTGAGTACATAAAACAGCGCACACTGAATCCCTACCCCCAAAGCAAATGACAGTTTGGACATTTGACTCTCTTTTTCTTCACTGTTAGGGTAATGATCCAAAGGCACACCCTTTCTCCATGAGTGTGTGTATGCTGTTTGAAGTGATGCACAAAAAATCGTTCAATGGTCTGTTTAAAATAAGTATTTTGAGACAAACCGAGTAGTTTCTTTGAATGATTTCTTATGATTTAACTCCAAGCACATAATTTGTTTCACCGTCTCCTTGCCTCAATAAGAAGATGACAATCACTTCTTAGTAGTGAAAATGGAGTCCAAATCATATTGCAACTCTTGCAACCCAAAAAATGTTGTCAACATACAAAGAAAGGATAATATCACCTTGTTTGGATCACCTTGAACAAGTTATTTGGAGCAACTTTGGGGATAAATAAAAGTAGGACCAACACTTCAAAATAGGTGAGACCATGTTTAAACGTGTTCTCCTCATCAAGGAGATTGACGTGGTATATTTACTTTTTTAAAACTATTAAATAGTGAATGAAAATTTGTTTCTCAAAATGATCCACTTGAATGGATGAAAGTCTTAATTTTTGTAACACAAAATTCGATTTCCTAAGAAAATGTTTCTCAAGAATTTTTTTTTGCCAATTATAGTCTTAATTTTTGTGGTTGATTAATATAAATGGTAGGGAAAAATTGATGAATAAGTGAAATTGGAATTCAATTGCCGACAAAAATTTTATTGGTGAAAGTGTGATATTTTCTAGTTAAATATATATATTTTTTTAAATAATAACATTTTTGTGGAATTAAACTACTTGGGACTTCATAAATAAATAAAAATTTTAATTAAAAATCATCAAAAATAGTGCACAGTACTTCATTCTCAATTGCTACACTACTACAAAAATACCCTCAAAATAGAAAAAGTGAAAAAATAATGCACAAGAAGGGAATTTCACGAAACTTGGACGGTAGTCCTTCAACAGTAATAGTGGCATTTCTGTTTTTCCGACTTTAATTTTGGTGTAGAGTTAGCTTTCTTAAGTTTCCAATGCCACTAGTAACATAATTGGAAGAGGCCGCCCAAAAGTCGCTAACCATCGGTCTGCCATGCAAACTACCATGCAGAAGAACTTATGGTCCAAAATTACTTCCCAAAGTCAAACAAAAAGTTTACAACAGCCTCGACAAGATTACAAAATTAGTAAGAATATTCACGTAATATCACTATTTAATAATAAAATATTAAATAAGAATATATATTTAGCTTAGATAAAGGGGGAGTAGGTAGTTATTTTGTATTATCCGGAGGGGTAATTACTATTCATTCATTGATTTGTGTGAGATTCTACTAATTTATTTGTTAACATATTATGAGACGGTAATACTAGACAATGCTTAACATTTTATCAACGTTGCATTGAATATTTTCTCCTCTCTTAGGCCTGCGCTGTCGACAATTTTGAAGTAAAAACCAATGTTAGATTTTCTGATTTCACTTGGCCTGCAAATCCATAAGAAAATTCAATTGTTTTGTCGAGTTGAAGTTGTGCTCAACTTTGTTCTTCCCACCAGTAGTTTTGAATTATCACAGCAAGTAAATTATATTGAAAGCCGGCCTGTTCGTTAAGCTCAGTGAACTAAAACTCATATTCTCGTATATTGTTGGTCTCTCCAATGCATTTTGCCCCCTATAAATAGTCATCTAGAGAATTCACCATTCAAGGGAAAAAGTGAGTCCTTTGCTTCTGGTAAAATAATAGATCATCATGGCTCAGTTTAACAGCAAAGCATCCAAGTTCTTTAACTTGGTTCTAATACTCTCTCTTCTTTTCATGGTTTCCATGGCAGAGAGCAGACAACTTGGCAGTACGTTCTAACTTCGACTGTCATTAGCTTGTCATCTTGTCTTATAATTGGTCCATTTTTAGTGTTTTTTATTCGAGTTTATGTTGTAGTGTATAAATTGTGTTTAGCAGGTTCAAGTTGTTTTTAGCTAGATTCGTGTTTATTTGTTTACTTTACGAAACTAAAAGATTCATTTTTTTATCATTCAAACTTGTTAATTTTGTTCCGATCTCGTGTCAGTGTCAAATCTAAACTAGTCATGCACAAGAAAAGTTCATAATTTACACTCTAAAAAATAAATGTCTATGATTTTCTACCCCCCCTCCTCTTCCCAATTTGCAATATTTTCACATTGACAATTTCTCAATAACCTTGTGACAATGCAGTTGGGTTTGGGAAGGCAAAAGCGACTCCAGTTTGCAACTCGGTGTACGGTGCAGAAGATGGTGATACTTGCATCAGTGTTGCTCAGAAGTTCAAATTGTCAGACGATTTCTTCCTTAAGATCAATCCTAATATCAACTGTGATACCATTTTCGTGGGTCAATGGCTTTGCACTGATGGGTCGGCGAATTGAACTGCTGAAGTCTTCATATTCACGCAACAAGAACCGTCATAAACAAAGAGAACAAGCCTCTGTCTAATTCGATGTAGTGTTCCCTTTTATTATCTCACTTGCCATTGTTCAATGGCCATAATAAATTGCAATGCATCCTTAATCTCTACTTTCTTAACAAATGGCTAATTTCTTAACATCATATTTTTCCAACAAAAAACACGAGATGAATCGAGGTGACAATCAAGTTCTGTTGGGTCGTGTTTTGATTGTATAGTTTCAAGTTAGTGTTAAGTACTAATTCATTTTAATTCAATCCATTTAATTAATTATATTGGCCTGTTTTTTCAAGGCCGACCCAACAGCATGAAAAATAAAACATGGACTTTATGACCCAAATTTTTAGAAACCTCTATAATTTTAAGTACATTACTATTTTATTTATATTACTTGTTTACCTTTTTTTAAATAATGCCTAATTGTCTGATCAAAAAATAAATAAATAAATAAATAAATAATGCATAATTGATTGACCATTTATTTTTTAATCAAATATGTAAAAATTTGATAAAATTTTACCATTCATTTGAATTTTGAATATTTATTCTTATTTTCTCACTCATTCTCTATCTCTCTCCTTATTTTCTCTCATCGTTACTCTCTCCCCCCTCCTTTCTCCGTTACTCTCTCACTCTCTCTCCCTTTCCGTTACTCTTTTATGTTTCGTTTGGTATGATGGAAAGTTGGAGAGATAAATAAAACATCATGTTTGGTAAGAAAAGAAAATAGGAACGATGGAAAAGTGGATGAATTAACTTTCCTTCCAACTCACCAAAATTAATCCCTCCAAAATCGAAAGGAAAGTGAATGGAAAGTTAATTATTTGTGTTGAGATGTATCTTATTTGTCTATATATCTTATGTATATATTAATTTCATATAAAAATATAATGATAAAATATGTATTTATATAATTTTTTTTAAAAATAAAAAATAAAAATTTTAAATTAAAAAAAAATATGTTTTCATGTTAACTAAAGGTGAAAATTTTTCACTCAACACGAGTTTTATAACACAAACTTGATTATAAATCGATACGAACTTGAAAATGACCTGACACGCAAACAAAAAATATAAAAGTCTTATAAGTTTATGACTCAACACTGACACGACACGACTCGATTTTCACCCCTAATATTAGACAAAAAAAATTAAAAAAAAATTAGTCATTTTTATTTTTTATTCATCCAACCAAATACAAAAGAAGGAAAGTGTATCATTCCTATTTTTCATCCTTGAATAATAGAAAATGTATCCCTCATACTTTCTATCCTTCGTACCAAGCGGGACATTATTCTCTCCCCTCTTTTCTCTCTCTCTGTGTACAAAGACACCCCAACAAAAGAGGTTTGGCCTTGACTTTGAGTAGCATTTCAGCAAACACCAAACTCCCAAACTCGA